CATCTTTCAGTGGCACTTTAGAAGATGTAGGCTGAATGGACATGCAGCTGTCTTATGGATCTCAACTTCTTTATTCTTTCAATGAGATGTTTTGGAGCAACTGCAAGTACCCTTACCGAGAACTTCCTAGATAAAGGTACCTAAAGCACCTGTACTATAAAGTTTTGTTACTTGCATGAAAGAGTTATAATCCATAACTCAACCCTTGCCTCGATGGGCATAGCATGACCTACAATGGTCAGGACATGTTTAGCTATAGATTGCTGGACAATGGGACACAATACTACTCTGTAATAACAGCATCATCAATTAACCTTGGACTTTACACTGCTGTGAGTGAGTGAGTGAGTGAGTGAGTGAGTGAGTGAGTGAGTGAGTGAGTGAGTGAGTGAGTGAGTGAGTGAGTGAGTGAGTGAGTGAGTGAGTGAGTGAGTGAGTGAGTGAGTGAGTGAGTGAGTGAGTGAGTGAGTGAGTGAGTGAGTGATGCTTTGAACAGCATTTCAGTCAAATCAGCATGTCAGCAAAGAATACCCACAACTGATGTATGCTGTATATGCTCACCACTGATATTAAAACTGTAGCTGCCAAGTTTCCCCAGTACAATAAATATTTTGCTGACATGTGTCCATGTGATTAAAACATTCAGCTGACAATTAATTGCTTAGTTTGTACTTCGACTTCAGTCACTTCAGATAGTACAAGTGCAGAGCCCCGATTGGACAGATACAAAACTAGTAAAAGCATTCACAAGTCGATAAACATGATGTATTCATGTTCCAAGCACACATTGTAAAGGTAAATGATGACCAACTATTTCCTGGTGTCATTGAACCTTTAGTCCTTCTGACTTTTGACAGACTATTCATCTGAATTAAGGAAGAAACCAGAAATGTACTGATAATCATAATTTGGATTAGAATCAGATCCTTGCAATGTTGCCGTGGACAACCCTTCACAACCACCTTCAGAACTACATGTACTACTACTACTATCAAATTCAATCAAATGTTCTGATTTGTACCTGAGATGTAAAACAAAGGTGGGTTAACCTGATAATATTTCAAGTCACAGTATTTAGGCAATACTGTCTGTGAATATTTCACAACAGTCGAGGAAACAAAAAGTATTAAATGGCAAAAAAACCTGCTCAATAGTCTAGCACTGGGCATTTCACAGAATACTTATCACAGATTTTACATGCCATATTAATCTTAACTTTATTACTTTATAGTACATTTTTAAGTCAAAACATTTTCCTGAGGATTTTGGTGAATGTAAATGAAATGTCAAGTGTTCAATGAGCATAATCTTTGACAAAATCTTTGACGGAACCTGGCAGACAATACCAGTGGAGTCCAGTCATATTCAAGTGATTCAATAGATAGTCAGTACCAGATGTTTTTTTATGACCCAACCACTCTAATTATCTGTTTTACTCATCCCCTGGGTGATCATGTGCACAATTCTAGCAAATGAAGTAATGGCTGCTGCCTATCTGTTGTCTCCACACACACTCTTATTCAGAGATGAGTGAGTGAGTTGAGTTTTATGCCACTTTTAACAATATTCCAGCAATATCACGATGGGGGACACCAGAAATGGGCTTCACACATTGTACCCATGTGGGGAATCAAACCCTGGTCTTTGGCGTGACAGCGATTTATTCCATTGTCATCATGTGTCTGAGAGAGATTCGCATCACACCTGTTCCTACAACACCTTCAACTATATGCAACTGCCTGTTTCTTTCAGAAAATACATGCAGTTTGTTGATTGTGCATTTCACCTTATCCGCATTGAATAATTTATGTTAACGAAGAGTTCAAAAGAATGTATTCATGAAAATAATACACTCAGAACCTTGGATAATATTTTTCATGCATACATACAATTTTATTTTTAAATTGACATAATATATATACCATCTTTACTGCGTAACATCATTTAATTTTTGTTTGACAATAAGGAGATCTGACAAATTGAACTTGTAAAAAATGAAATTCAAATTTAGGAAACTTTTGGAACATACTTCAAACAAGATGATAAACAGGGTTATCTTCTATTTTCTGCCATCTATCATTCAAAGTGATCGTAATAAGCAGTGGTTAGGAAGACCAAACTATTTCAATCTACCAATTTAACTTGCATGTGTCAGAAATGTCAGTCACCTGTAATGAGCATCCTGAAAATAGGCCGAACATATATATCTTCTAATTAGTTTTCATGTGATACTTTACCAAGTATTTATAGCAGACCAGTGAGGAACCCACGATTAAGTGAACTTCATGATACACAACAATACAAAAACTATTTCCCTGTAACATGCTGTTGTATTTGTGGCCTCTCACTGCTGAAATAGACATGATCTGTCAAACTACATCCTCAGATAAGAAATCTATTTGAAAATCGATATCTTAGATAAAACAACAACTCAGATAATATTTTCAAGTTTGTTTTTCTAATCCATAGATTTTCAGATGAAAAAGGGTGCTATTTTCGTGACAACTACCTCCAAGAATTTTTAAATTTTATATAATTTCAACCCCATTTATAACTTAATTTTGACAAAAAAGTTGCTTTGAATTTTTAGAGAAAAAAAAAAGTTTGGAATAACTTTGTAAACTATTATCATTGAATTTTACAGGGATAACGAACCTCGATTATAGCTGACTTTATCACAACGTGGGAATACAGGAAGTGAAGTCTTAAATGGCATGACATAAATTACCAACATTCAATCAAAGTTTGTCACATGATGTGAATGTGACCATTTGTAATTACATTATTTGTAAAAACATAACTAATTCGATCTGAATATAGCTCCACATCAGATTCACTTAGGAGAAACGTGTCTGTGTCCAAGACGTAATTATATTTGTCAATTACTCATCTGTCACACTTAAAGTTCACGCGATCCTCCTAACACGCTTGTATAACACTGGCAGGTGATCCATAGAGATATATTCTACATCCATAACACAGCTAATTCGTTGATTGAAAAGAAGAAAGACAGTTACAGAGAAATATAATCAATTTATGCATACAGAGAACGGGCCATCTGAAACCGTGAGGTCACGGGGATGCCATTTTGAAGAGGCTGCTTGCATGACAGTAATGCCTCTTGTCAACATTTCAAACACAGTTTCAAAGTGAACTTATGCAGCAACACTTTGAAAGTTTCCTGACTGACAAAAGAATTTGAAATGAAATTTCAAACTGTAACCAGAAAAAATAATTTTCTAATCAAGTTATTGGCACAAAAAAGTATGTTATGGTATTAGTTTGCAAACTGACATGTCATGACCTTGGTGAATAAAGTTTCCTGTTTATAATTAAATCCTCCATTCATTGGGATTGTCATTGAATAATACTAAGTTCTAAGGAGATGTTTGACTTTTTCAAACACGTATATCTGATTATGTTCATTCAGAATACTTCTAACAACATTAACATTTGTTTCTGGAGGTTCAAAGTCTTCAAGGCATTGTTTTCTCACCAACTGATCTATTTCATCTTTAAAAAAATGAAGAAGACAAACGACCAAGATTCATTGAACAAATTTCTGAATAAGACAAATCACATTAGAAATGCACGATCATCTAAGTTTTTCAATGTTTCTGTTTGAGGTGAGATGGAACGGGGTTTAACCGATATAGTGATATGCATGCACAAGTGTGCCTAGCTGCTTCTATTACCCAGACTTATCCCCATTTTATGGTGCTAGCCCACTGGTGCACCATGTCACAGTTTAACAAAATATACCTCACTTAGACACATCTACTGACTCTGATCCAAACAGGTATTGTTTTCCAAGATATTTTTATGGATTAAACTTCTTTTTTTTTTTTCCTCACAACGTTTTGGGACCATTCCAGGTCCCTTAATTAGGTGAACTGATGAATAATCTGGTGAACTGATGAATAATCAGGTGAACTGATGAATAATCAGGTGAACTGAAGAAGGGACCTGGAACCAGGACCAGGTGAGCTGATGAAGGGACCTGGAATAGTCCCGAAACGTCATGAGGGAAATCCAAAAAAGAAAAAGAAGAAGTTTAATCCATAAAAATATCTTTGACATCTATGTAGAACTTCTAAAGCCACGGAAAGACATCAGGTCTTGTTTTGTTTCTTTAATGTAAACAACAATCTGTCAACATAATTTGGTTTGATGCATCCAGGGATCAAACCACAGACCTGCTCACTGGGCAAACACTCATTCAACTATACCACAGTGGCATTGGTTTTATGTTTGAAAAATTACAGGTGAAATCAACAGTCTGGTTCACACAGCCTATGGTTTGGTTGGTTGGTTGGTTGGTTGGTTGGTTGGTTGGTTGGTAGGTTAACGCCACACTGAGCAATATTCAGGCTATATGGTACCCAGCCTATGCACATATATTGACTGCCTGTCTTGTGTATGCTCTGTTGTCTCTGGGACACTGACCAGTCCCTGTCCTGCTGTAAACCTTCCACCATCATAACCATTGTATGCTAAATTACTAGAGTTCGGATCACCTTAGAGACACAGCTGTTGTAAACCTACCACCATCATAACCATTGTATGTAAACCTACCACCATCATAACCATTCATAACCATTGTATGCTAAAGTACTAGAGTTCGGATCACCTTAGAGACACAGCTGTTGTAAACCTACCACCATCATAACCATTGTATGCTAAATTACTAGAGTTCGGATCACCTTAGAGACACAGCTGTTGTAAACCTACCACTATCATAATCTTTGTATGCTAAATTACTTGAATTAGGATCACCTTAGTGGGAAGATCACCTTAAACTTTCACTAACTACATACTTGCCAAAGCTTACATCAACAATATCGCCTCCTCTGGAACCAGAGTATCAACCTTAAATTTGCAGACAAGCAACATGCTGTTTAATAGGGACAATATGGTAATCTCCATCCAACTGAGCGAGACAATTACTTCATCCAAAATGGAATAAGATTCCTATAAGTAGCAGTTATTTCTGGGCCTACCTTTCTAGGTTGTCCCCTTCCAACACGGTCTGCACAGGGAGGTAACCGAGGCGAGGATGTTTCTTGAAATAACGTTTTGACTTGAATTTGTTCTTGAAAACTTTGGTGAAATCTCTCATATCTTCTCCTGAGGTTGTCTGAAAACAATCAAGATTGCAACATAGAACAGTAATGTCATGTTTCAGATTGGAAAAAATAAGGGAAAATAACTGACAAATATCGCGGAGGCGAGAGCTGCATTCTAACCAATCAATACTCTGATGTTTTTATTGCGTCCTTTTAAGTTGAAATACGTATTACTCATCCCTCATTACAAAAAATAAATTACATGACAGGAAATTAGAAAATAGCTATTCAAAATAACATTTTTCACATTAGAAAAGACTGTGAATCTAATATAATGGATTTTTGTGGTTTCTTTGATGAACTTTCAAAGGCAGCTTCAATCTATGTAAACAATTAAAACTTGCTCTTTTTTGTCATCCACTGTATTTTAGAACAAATGATTTATTACTTCAGTAGCCAACTTGGAAAACACTGTCAAAGGCTGTTTACATGCTCCAGGAAGACATCCATGACAAAAATATCCTGAAGAATTTTCTACAAAGCCAGAATTGTTTCCTATATGTATTTACATCTCTCATTCTTGTTATGTAGTTTATTGATACTGTTTACTGAGTCAATGTCCAAAGGCCAAAGAAGAACAGTTTGTTTGTTGTTTAAAGCTGCACTCTAGCTATATGACGACAGTCTATATGTAAATAATTGAGTCTAGACCAGAAAATCAAGTGATTGATATCATGATGCCCGAATACACAATGCCATTTAGAAAGTGAGTGAGTGAGTGAGTATGGTTTTATGGTTTTAGCAATATTCCAGCAATATTCCAGCAATATCACGGCGGGGGACACCAGAAATGGGCTTCACACATTGTACCCATGTGGGGAATTGAATCCGGTTCTTCGGCGTGACGAGCGAACGCTTTAACCACTAGGCTACCCCACCACCCCCATTTAGAAAGTGGTCAAATGTAGCATATGTTAGATTTGTGGAAGCTGCGGTGGCTGAGCGGGTTAGGCAGCTGACTTTGTGTGTTGTCGATTAGGTGCCTGACTCTGAGGGTGCGGGTTCGAATCCCAGATGGGACTCAACCCAAGAAAAGTACTAGAATCTGTACTTTACGAAGAAAGGGCATCTCAAATATAACATATGTTACATCATGATCCCCGACAAGCATTAAAAACTCCTCATCCTCACAGTTGCCTCTTACAACAAACATGGGTTGCTGAATAATACGAGTGTTGTTGGTCAGCTATATTCCAGCATTAGCATTGCCGACAGCAGCAATAAAGATGAAGGAAACCAGTGACTGATGTTATGAGCAGTGATCCACAAGGCCAGGCAGAGCGAGTGAGTTAAAATTTAAAGTCACACTGGCAGTATTTCAGCCATATCGTGACTACGAGGGCACGATAACATGGAATCAGCCATGTTAGATTGAATAAGGTTGACTCTTATGACAGTTGGCTTTGTTCCTCTGAGTGAGTGAGTGAGATTAGTTTTACGCCGCACTCAGCAATATTCCAGCTATATGGCGGCTGTCTGTAAATAATCGAGTCTGGACCAGACAATCCAGTGATCAACAGCATGAGCATCGATCTGCGCAATTGGGAACTGATGACATGTGTCAACCAAGCCAGCGAGATGTTCCTCTGATATCGCACTGAGACTCATAGAGGCAGTTAGATATATCCAGGGAAATAATCATTAGTTTTAATCAAACTGGTCAGTGAAATACATTAACACTTGTAACTCAAGCTTGTCGTAAGAGACAACTAACGGGATCGGGTGGTCAGGCTTGCTGACTTGGTTGACATATGTCATCGCATCTCAATTCCGCAGATCGATGTTCATGCTGATGATCACTGGATTGTCTGGTCCAGACTTGTTAATGTGAAGACTAAGCACATAATTTCATAAAAATATCCCTACAAATATTAAGGATCCCTAATTTGGTTGGTTCAGTTCCTATAACATTAGTGGGGAAATCTTTAAATCCAATTTAGAAAGATTTGCCATTTGCTCGTGACTTAGTACAAGCTTGATGACCAATGTATATATATATACTCACAGCAGTACAATATTCTTGCATAGGATGTGTCAGCTTATGACTTTTGTGTTTCCTCCCAGAGAAGAAACAGTTTTGGCAGACATCAAAGTTAAAGCACCGCAAACAACGATACCTGAAAAATATAGAAAAAAAATTGAACTTATACAGCAAAATATACCAACTTCTAAAACAATACTGATGTCCATCATTTAGAAGAAATTCACATATTATACAAACAGTATGTTTCATGAATAGGGGGTGACTCACTGATAAATAACAGTTTTAAGAATGCAGAATTAAAATGACTCATATAAGCACAGTATCATTAAACCATGAATATTTCAAAGATGAATTAGAAAATCAAATGCACTTTAAATACATTCCATTAGAAATCCTGATATATTTACTGGCAGTAACACATGCTATATTGGGATTACAAAACAAAACAATTGAATATTTTAGGCAAAAATTAATACAAATGGCTCACCCAATTATGTCACCTCATTCATTTAAATATTTCAAAAGAACCCCGTGTATCCATGCTAATTTATTGCCTATGTCACTGATACAAGAATCTATCTCACCTGAATCCCACGATTGGGAATTCTTTACAAATATTGCACTTTGCCTGATGTTTGGCCGTCTCTGCAGCTGCCAGTCTGTGCATGACAGGCAGCCACACCAACGACTGGGGCTCCATCTTGGACCAGTCGAGGAAATGAGAAGCTTGAATCTCAGGCCGCCCATTGGCCTGGAAATAGCAAGAAAGGTCCAGTTCATTTGTTGATTTTAGAAAAGGTGTGTCAAACTACATATGAAACAGTGTCTGAAATAACTGAACACTATCACTTTGTCTCACCCAATTTCAACTTGGATAAACATTATTAATGCATTCATACAATCAAATTCAAATGTAAAGATGTAAACTCTTGCAATGTAAGAATAAATAATTATGTACAGAAATGGTTGCCTGTTTCCTATTCTCTTCACACTTTGCCAAACAACAATGAAGATAGTTTACTGCCAAACACAATCAGCAGGCAATATGTACTCAGTTCTGTCCAGGTGAGTCCAAAGAGGCAGAAATATCATGTATATATGTACTTTACTCAAAGGGACTGGTATTTCTGATTTCTTTTGAAACAGCTTTCTAGTTATTGCTCCTTGTTTGAGATGAGTTTATATACTAAGTTTTGACAAGGATATGTGGCAAAACACCTTTTCATCTTTGCATCAAGGGAGACAATTCACTGTTAAGCAAAAGTTGTCTCCCTTTGATTACATTTTTTAGTTAATTTTAATCAGAATTACAACTGACCTTACAGTTTTTACGTCAGCAAGAGGAACATACTATATATACTTAATTGTAGTTAGCATCAAATCCCAACTTTCCTTACTCTAAATACTAAACCTAAACTATCAGCACCAGCAGGATTGACACCTTAGCACTTGCACGAGCTGTCCTAATGTAAACCATCGGAACTAACATCTGGTTGTAGGCAAACACTCTGTTACTGGCCTACAAGGAATATTGTTTACATGCAGATTAATACCAACTCACCTTAGCAAAACAGCTGCGCACACTGGGTTCAATGTTGCTGCCTCCGAACGCTGCGACTTCACCCAGCTGTCGGGGGATCTGAATACAATCATGGACAAGCAGTCCCAGCTTGCGCTGATCTGTAAACCCGTTTGTGTCCGCTATCAGGCGGAAAATGACTGCAAAGAAACGGAACATAATAGTTATAATTCCCACAATACAATTGTGAGTAATTAAATCAAAGTGCAAACTTCCAGGTAAAAAGAAAATAATTCTAGTTTTACAACAATTCAACCATTCAGTTCGATTCAGTGAGAATCATTTTCTAGACCATTATCGTGGGTGAGTGAGTTGACAATATCTGAGCAGTATCACAATAGGGAGAACCACATAGAGGCTTCACACACCAAGCAATGTTAATAAAAAAACACACGTCTTTTTGTGACACCTGTGAAAATCCAGGTTAGAATTGGTCTTCAGGAACCATGCTTATCATAAAAGGCGACTAACGGGATCAGGTGGTCAGGCTCACTGACTTGGTTGACACATGTCATCACATCCCATATGTGTTAATCGATGCTCATGATGTTGATCACTGGATTGTCTGGTCCAGACTGGATTATGTACAGACCACTGCCATATAGCTGGAATATTGCTGAGTGTGGCATTAAGCAACAACAACAACAACATGTAATCGGAGTACCCACTAGGCTACTCCACCAGCCCTCAAGATCACATAAGCTGCATACCGGTATATGTAGCTGGTTAGGACTGTGGACAGATTATGACAAAGCAACACTGTTTGATACAAAAAGACAACATGTGAGGTTATTATATTACCATTCTTGTTGAATTAGTCAAACTGTAGGCTACTTACACCTATACTTGTCTTCTAGCTGGGCCTTGCACATTATGATAATTCCTATTTTGAAAGACAGCACCCGCACCTTGCCACTCCTTGCCCTGCAAAAAATGACAGCATCATAAATATAGGTCTGCCAGAAACAGTCTCTGCTTGTGATAAAGTCAGTGCATGTTGCCAAGTCAGCAATACACAGGGTTCTGATGCCAGCAATATTTCAGCCATTTCACATGGTTTGTGTCTCCATGTGTAGATTTTGTCTGAAAGCACCAAACAAAATATTATAATGGTCTATGAAACTCTGACCATGTACTGAAGGTGAAGTTGCTGTAAGCTTCATCCAGAACAGGCACACCAGATAGAGTGAGGGTAAATCCACACCACTGGTTAAAGATTACACCTCAATCTGCCTCGTGGTTAATGATCACAACTTGACCAAAACCTGTCTACCAAGAAGCCATTGTTGGGACCCAATCTCAATCCAAATTACTACATCCAGCCTCTGATTTGGCAAATCCACCCTCAAAATCCCATATCCACCCTCCAACTCATCACATCCACCCGCCCGTCACCATATCCACTTTCCAAGTCACCACATTTATCCCCTAAGTCACCACATCCACCCTCCAAGTCCTCAAACTCTTCACATCCACCCTCCAAGTCCTCAAACTCACCACATCCACCCTCCAAGTCCTCAAACTCACCACATCCACCCACCCCCCAAGTCCTCAAACTCACCACATCCACCCTCCAAGTCCTCAAACTCACCACATCCACCCTCCAAGTCCTCAAACTCACCACATCCACCCACCCCCAAGTCCTCAAACTCACCACCACATCCACCTCCTCAGACCCCCAAGTCCTCAAACTCACCCACATCCACCCTCCAAGTCCTCAAACTCACCACATCCACCCCACATCCAAGTCCTCAAACTCACCACATCCACCCTCCAAGTCCTCAAACTCACCACATCCACCCTCCAAGACCTCAAACTCACCACATCCACCCACCCCCAACTCACCACATCCACCCACCCCCCAACTCACCACATCCACACATTATACTTGTTGTTTTCTCAAAGAAAAGAGCATCAACCTTTTTTGTCAGTCTTTGCTACAGTTTGTAGTCTATTCAATAATGTTACCTGAAATTGGATTATTGATTTTCATTTAGCCTTAGCATCCTGCATGGGGAGCCTCTTGACTGGCGAATCTCAACAGGAGGTGGTGTCTACTTACATGTCGTAGACATCTAGAATCCAGTTTAGCACCATATCAACACAGAAGGGCACATTGACAAGAGTAGGGTGTTCGGTGGCCACAACCTCGAACATGGAGGTAACACAGTTAATGATTTCAATGACGTCCATGAGTTTGTCATTTTGTGCACGGAGGCCATGGCGGTCGAAGGAATCTGCTGCCGTGTTCATGGACACAAGATCCACTGGAAGACAAGAATAGAGTTCACCATACAGAATTATCAAACAAATTGACAAACTTGGCATGTCAGTGCTTACATGAAACACCTGTATACTAGTACAGGAGACTTCTGAAATCTGCACAGATGTCTTACTTCATTCCGCACTTAGTCTACTCACTGGGTCCATGATTTATCAAACATTGCTAAATGAATATTGTGTGCAGACCAATTACTATTCTGATGGGGACTACCAAACAATTAAATGCCGGAAAAGATACATGTAGAGTGAAATAATGAATTTGGAGATACTGTTCCCAGTGAAATCGTCAGAATTCACAAATGGACATACAGTCAAATCCCGATGAGTCGAATGCCGGTGTCTCGAATATTATGCATAACTCGAAGTACCTGTCGGTCCCGACCATTCCCTGTTATAGTTGTCATCATTTGAACACCGGTTACACGAATTCGTCTCATAAATATACACGATGACTCAAGAAGGAAATTTGGTCCCATGAGATTCAAACAACAGCAATCTTGTATACAGTCAGGCCGCGGGAATCCGGTCCTCGTTAATCCGAATCCACCGACTTCCGAACGCTACTCACCGGGCACCAAATCATCTCCCTATATATTGTATATAATTGACACCTCGTTAGTCCGATGATTCAGTTTCCGCCTCCGAACGCTGGTCAGTCGGAATGGATTGGACTAATTAAGTTGTAAACAGCTGCGTTAATCCGAACGATTGAAGTTGACCGCGCTGTTGACTGGTCCACCCAAAGTGACACGTTGTTTGGTTAGCGACTTAGCGACTCATCCCTTTGATCCCTTTATCATAAGTGATAGGGAAATTTCGACGACCACGCTGTTTTGGGAAAGACTTCAATCCAGAAATATATGCTCGGTACCGAATTAAAATTATAAGCTATTTTTCGCAATGTTATTGAAAACAACGATTCTCGGACACATGCTTCGGCAGCAGGTTCACAATAACATTGTCAAAGAGCAAAGTAACGATGTAAATTGAATAAACTAATGAATAAAATCCATAATTTACGTATAGGTAGCGATTTCTTGCTTAATATGTTCAAAATAGTTTTACAAGCTTATAATTTCCTTCATAAACATAGGCTTCATCTATGACCTCAGAGTCTCAATAGTAAGGAAAGATATCAAGGGGAAGTAACTCGGTGCATATACTGTGGTTTCAGCAGTACGAACGTTTCACTATCCGAACGGTTTTTTTAAAAAACCAAAGTGTTCGTATTAACGAGGTCTGACTGTACATAAGCCGAGTCATTCAATGAGAAGTTGATTGGTGTAGCAAACTGATCCAATTAACAAACCAGCGTGGCTCACACCTTTCCGCCATTGACGGGTGAGTTCAAAAGGCAGATTAGTGATTTTACGGAAAATTCACTGTCTGTGCTAATCAGACTGGAACTGATAAGGTGTCCCTATTAGTGATATGGAAATCATTAGATAAACAAATGCTAAGGCAGAGGAATTAGGACTGGATCATCATTTTTTTCTACCCTCATAGACATACCTATGTCTCGAATACATCGATAAGTCGAAATTATTACTTGGTCCCCAGCGATTCGACTCATCAGGATTTGACTGTATTGGGACAACATGGCTACAGGGTAATGTTATTTATACATTTAGACATTTAATTTGCTGGACAGCATACTCCACAGTGCATGAGTTTTCAGCAATATTTGAACAATATCACAGCGTGGGACATGCTTCACAGATCTAGTAAGTATCACTGTACGTCATGGGGAAGGTAGCCACAGACAAAATCTTCTACATGAAGGCTGTCCAACTTACTACATAGTTTCTTCTGCAGCATCCGTAACTTCATCGCTGTCCGGTAGGCAGCAAACCTGACATTGTTCAACTCATCTGAAACAAGATGTGGTTTCTGTATTTTGAACAAGCTTTTGTTTGAATGTTTGTGCAATGTTTTAGACCACAGAGCGTTTCCGCTATAGTCTGTTTGCAGTGAAAATGTACCGATGAATTTCACTTTAAACAAAAGTAAATCAAATAAAGTGAAATTAAGATTGCGAATCCTCATAAGTTTACCTTGCCAGTTGCACATTTAAATTTCAGAATTTTATTCAACTTAGGATAAAGTTGTTTAACAAACGATCATAGTTTCAAATCGCTATTGTTGGTTTGTATTACAAGGGGGTAAGCGCAGTAGATGGAACAGTGAAACAAATGCACGTACGGTACGTGATGAGTGTTAACTAAGACCAACCCTACTTGTTCTCGGTGTTTCATTTAATGGGCATACCCCCTTGTAATACAAACAAATAACAGCGATTTGAAACTATGATCGTTTGTTAAACAACTTTTATTCTACGTTGAATAACATTCTGAGATTTAAATGTTCAATTGGCAAGATAGAGTTATGAGGATTCGCAATTTTAATTTCACTTTATTGATTTACTTTTTGTTTAAAGTGAACTTCATCGGTACGTTTTCACTGGAAACAGACTATACATGAGCTGAATGTGCACTGTTGAGAGCAGTCATCACCATTTCTTCTTCCCCACCCTTAGCCAAGCATTTAATGCTGTCAAATCAACACTGACAATGGTCTAATTTTGTAGATATTGACTACATCTGTTACTAGTCTACTAAATTGAAAATTCATAACTATTTGCAGTGTTCTTCTTAACATCAAAAATAAATTTCACATCATAATATATTTTCATAATCAAGTGAACAGCAGCATTTGAAGTGTCAATGTGTTCAGGCAGTTCACCTTTAACACCTACAAACAATCTCAGCTCAATTTCCATGTAAAACACACATGTCATTAATCCCCGTCCTACTACAGCAAACTAAAGGTCAAGTACATCACTCAATATTTCAACTTTGTCTATCTGGCTATTAGGTACATAGTTACACTTGCTGTAACATCAGAGAAACTATGTGTAAATTAACACTCATGAAATGTAAGTGTAAAGGGCCAGTCCTGTCAGACATCTGGGGCCCTGTAAGGGATGTGTATAGGGGCCTGGGTTGTGTGTGAAGCATGAGTAGGGATGTATGTAGGGCTTTGGCAGGGGCGGATACAGCTTTTTGAGAAAGGGGGGGTGCACACTATTGAGGAAAGGAGGGGTGCACACTTCATTTTTACCCAGAGTTTTAATGGTCATTTAACACACTTTCAGCACAAAAGGGGTGGTGCGCACCCCTGCACCCCCTCTGGATCTGCCTATGTTTGGTAGGGTTGTGGATGGGGACCTGGGAGAAATGTATGTGTTGAGCAAGGATCGGTGTGAGGCCCTCACAGGGATGCATGTAGGGCCTTGGTAGGGTTGTGGGTGGGGTCCTGGGAGAAATGTATGTGTTGAGCAAGGATCGGTGTGAAGCCCTTACAGGGATGCATGTAGGGCCTTGGTAGGGTTGTGGGTGGGGTCCTGGGAGAAATGTATGTGTTGAGCAAGGATCGGTGTGAGGCCCTTACAGGGATGAATGTAGGGCCTTGGTAGGGTTGTGGGTGGGGTCCTGGGAGAGATGTATGTGTTGAGCAAGGATCGGTGTGAGGCCCTTACAGGGATGAATGTAGGGCCTTGGTAGGGTTGTGGGTGGGGTCCTGGGAGTGATGTATGTGTTGCCCAGCAATGTATGTGAGGCCCTTACAGGGATGAATGTAGGGCCCTGGTAGGGTTGTCTAGTGGGTTGCTGGTTGTGTGGCGGGCCCCCAGCATGATAGCCTGTGAGGCCCATGATGGTGTGTACAGGAATGACCTCTACCTAGTCATTCTCTTGACTGCCTCAATCAACACTCTCCCAGTTGACACAGCACTGATACCGGGTTGACCCTTCCAGTACACTGAACTACTTCACCGTATAGTGGACCATATGTGCAAAAACTATGCTACATTTTGAAATTATGTAAGTAAAAAATATGTGATTCTAAAAATCACTGCTAGTTATATATTTGGTTTGTGAGTTTAAGTTTTTTAAAATTGATAATTATAACTTCAGAATATATTATCCTCAATATTTCAATGGAGATCAATTAGTAATCCAAACAAGTTTAATTCAAGATGTTCGAAAACTCAATTCATGTTTTTGTCTGCTCACAAAAATTACATAATAATCAATGTACCTGTCAAGGTCAGCCTGATAATATTGACACAATTTCTGGGGTTGACAAAGACTGTCTAGAGCTGCACTACACTATAGTACCACACCACAAGCAGAGTCCCCTGGTAAACAAGGTACCCAGATGGGATAGCTCTCAGACAGTTCATCCATACTGTGAGCAGCCTGATCACTTGATGGTCACCTCTTATAATCTGCATGTACAGGTTGTTGGGGACCTATTCTAACCTGAAATCTGTATAGGTCTACAAGACTTACGGAGTGCTAGCATTAAGGGGACCTATTCTAACCTGGAATCCCTATAGGTCTACAAGACTTACGGAGTGCTAGCATTAAGGGGACCTATTCTAACGTGGAATCCCTATAGGTCTACAAGACTTACTGAGTGCTAGCATTAAGGCGGACATCTCGGGGTGGTCCCACTGGGTGGTTTCGGTTGTGTGACTGAAACAAAACATTATCATTATTTCACAGTATATTCACATTACAGAAAGGACAGAAAATATGCTTTTCCTATATCCACAAAAGGTACCTATTCATACAGTACCTTTACATATACACACTTTATATGTTAATAAAGAATCTTCAAAATATATATGCACATTTTATACAAATAAAGTAGCTTAATATATAGTTTCATTTGACATATCCACAAAATCCTTAATTAATTCACTGGTCATGAAAATTGATGAATGTGACAAAACTTCCAAATTTATGGTTGGTTTTAAATTACAGCACATGTGATGTCACATGAATACATATAGGGCTGACTATATGCACTAGAGCATACTGTGAACCTAGTGAGTGATGTGTACAACCACATTATACCTGCCTGTCCAGCATGTGACTCACTTGTGAAACATGGCCAACAATATAATGGCAAATAGCCGTGGATCAACTCTGCAATGACCTTCCTCAAGTCACCTACTTCAGGGACTCTCAAGTGCATGCAGTTTGTTCAATATAAATGTAACGTTAACACAGACATGTGGAAAAATCCAGTCCCAGAAACAAATTCCACGGCTACATGTTACAGTGCAGATGTTTGTCAGTTTCACAGCTGTCAGTCGACTGGTCGTATAAAACATACAGCATCAGCTGCAGTCTTTTAGTGGTATTACATACCATATCTCACTGCTTCTTACTTGGATAACATACCATATCTCACTGCTTCTTACTTGGATAACATACCATATCTCACTGCTTCTTACTTGTAGGACATACAATATCTCACTGCTTCTTACTTGGATAACATACCATATCTCACTGCTTCTTACTTGTAGGACATACAATATCTCACTGCTTCTTACTTGGATAACATACCATATCTCACTGCTTCTTACTTGTAGGACATACAATATCTCACTGCTTCTTACTTGGATAACATACCATATCTCACTGCTTCTTACTTGTAGGACATACAATATCTCACTGCTTCTTACTTGTAGGACATACCATATCTCACTGCTTCTTACTTGGATAACATACCATATCTCACTGCTTCTTACTTGTAGGACATACAATATCTCACAGCTTCTTACTTGGATAACATACAATATCTCACTGCTTCTTACTTGTAGGACATACAATATCTCACTGCTTCTTACTTGGATAACATACCATATCTCACTGCTTCTTACTTGGATAACATACAATATCTCACTGCTTCTTACTTGTAGGACATACAATATCTCACTGCTTCTTACTTGGATAACATACAATATCTCACTGCTTCTTACTTGTAGGACATACAATATCTCACTGCTTCTTACTTGGATAACATACCATATCTCACTGCTTCTTACTTGGATAACATACAATATCTCACTGCTTCTTACTTGGATAACATACCATATCTCACTGCTTCTTACTTGGATAACATACCATATCTCACTGCTTCTTACTTGGATAACATACCATATCTCACTGCTTCTTACTTGGATAACATACAATATCTCACTGCTTCTTACTTGGATAACATACAATATCTCACTGCTTCTTACTTGGACAACATACCATATCTCACTGCTTCTTACTTGGATAACATACCATATCTCACTGCTTCTTACTTGGATAACATACCATATCTCACTGCTTCTTACTTGGATAACATACAATATCTCACTGCTTCTTACTTGGATAACATACCATATCTCACTGCTTCTTACTTGGATAACATACAATATCTCACTGCTTCTTACTTGGATAACATACAATATCTCACTGCTTCTTACTTGGATAACATACAATATCTCACTGCTTCTTACTTGGATAACATACAATATCTCACTGCTTCTTACTTGGATAACATACAATATCTCACTGCTTCTTACTTGGATAACATACAATATCTCACTGCTTCTTACTTGGATAACATACAATATCTCACTGCTTCTTACTTGGATAACATACAATATCTCACTGCTTCTTACTTGTAGGACATACAATATCTCACAGATTGTTACTGATATGACATACATTATCTCCCTGTTTCCAAGTGGTGTAACATACAATATCTCCCTGTTTCTAAATGGTGGAATACACTATATCTCACTGATTGTGTGTTATAACTAACAATTCCTCACATCTTCTTAACAACACTGTGTACATGAAGGTTCTACAAACGTGTGCTGGGTACCAGTCAGTATACAATCACTATAAACTAGACAGTATTCAGTACGACATCCCTGGCTGTAAACCATCTAGCTGTGTACTGGGTACCAGTCAGTATACAATCACTATAAACTAGACAGTATTCAGTACGACATCCCTGGCTGTAAACCATCTAGCTGTGTACTGGGTACCAGTCAGTATACAATCACTATAAACTAGACAGTATTCAGTACATGCATCCCTGGCTGTAAACCATCTAGCTGTGTACTGGGTACCAGTCAGTATACAATCACTATAAACTAGACAGTATTCAGTACGCCATCCCTGGCTGTAAACCATCTAGCTGTGTACTGGGTACCAGTCAGTATACAATCACTATAGACTAGACAGTATTCAGTACACCATCCCTGGCTGTAAACCATCTAGCTGTGTACTGGGTACCAGTCAGTATACAATCACTATAAACTAGACAGTATTCAGTACACCATCCCTGGCTGTAAACCATCTAGCTGTGTACTGGGTACCAGTCAGTATACAATCACTATAAACTAGACAGTATTCAGTACGCCATCCCTGGCTGTAAACCATCTAGCTGTGTACTGGGTACCAGTCAGTATACAATCACTATAAACTAGACAGTATTCAGTACACCATCCCTGGCTGTAAACCATCTAGCTGTGTACTGGGTACCAGTCAGTATACAATCACTATAAACTAGACGGTATTCAGTACGACATCCTGGCTGTAAACCACCTAGCTGTGTACTGGGTACCAGTCAGTATACAATCACTATAAACTAGACAGTATTCAGTACACCATCCCTGACTGTAAACCATCTAGCTGTGTACTGGGTACCAGTCAGTATACAATCACTATAAACTAGACAGTATTCAGTACACCATCCCTGGCTGTAAACCATCTAGCTGTGTACTGGGTACCAGTCAGTATACAATCACTATAAACTAGACAGTATTCAGTACGACATCCCTGGCTGTAAACCACCTAGCTGTGTACTGGGTACCAGTCAGTATACAATCACTATAAACTAGACAGTATTCAGTACACCATCCCTGGCTGTAAACCACCTAGCTGTGTACTGGGTACCAGTCAGTATACAATCACTATAAACTAGACAGTATTCAGTGCACCATCCCTGGCTGTAAACCATCTAGCTGTGTACTGGGTGCCAGTCAGTATACAATCACTATAAAACTAGACGGTATTCAGTACACGACATCCCTGGCTGTAAACCATCTAGCTGTGTACTGGGTACCAGTCAGTATACAATCACTATAAACTAGACAGTATTCAGTACACCATCCCTGGCTGTAAACCATCTAGCTGTGTACTGGGTACCAGTCAGTATACAATCACTATAAACTAGACGGTATTCAGTGCGACATCCCTGGCTGTAAACCACCTAGCTGTGTACTGGGTACCAGTCAGTATACAATCACTATAAACTAGACGGTATTCAGTACACCATCCCTGGCTGTAAACCATCTAGCTGTGTACTGGGTACCAGTCAGTATACAATCACTATAAACTAGACAGTATTCAGTACACCATCCCTGTCCATCTAGCTGTGTACTGGGTGCCAGTCAGTATACATCCCTGGCTGTAAACCATCTAGCTGTGTACTGGGTACCAGTCAGTATACAATCACTATAAACTAGACAGTATTCAGTACGACATCCCTGGCTGTAAACCATCTAGCTGTGTACTGGGTACCAGTCAGTATACAATCACTATAAACTAGACAGTATTCAGTACACCATCCCTGGCTGTAAACCATCTAGCTGTGTACTGGGTACCAGTCAGTATACAATCACTATAAACTAGACAGTATTCAGTACGACATCCCTGGCTGTAAACCACCTAGCTGTGTACTGGGTACCAGTCAGTATACAATCACTATAAACTAGACAGTATTCAGTACACCATCCCTGGCTGTAAACCATCTAGCTGTGTACTGGGTACCAGTCAGTATACAATCACTATAAACTAGACAGTATTCAGTACACCATCCCTGGCTGTAAACCATCTAGCTGTGTACTGGGTACCAGTCAGTATACAATCACTATAAACTAGACAGTATTCAGTACGACATCCCTGGCTGTAAACCACCTAGCTGTGTACTGGGTACCAGTCAGTATACAATCACTATAAACTAGACAGGCTATTCAGTCAGTATACAATCACATCCCTGACTGTAAACCATCTAGCTGTGTATTGCACCAATCACTAGCTGTGTACTGGGTACCAGTCAGTATACAATCACTATAAACTAGACAGTATTCAGTACACCATCCCTGGCTGTAAACCATCTAGCTGTGTACTGGGTACCAGTCAGTATACAATCACTATAAACTAGACAGTATTCAGTACGACATCCCTGGCTGTAAACCACCTAGCTGTGTACTGGGTACCAGTCAGTATACAATCACTATAAACTAGACAGTATTCAGTACACCATCCCTGGCTGTAAACCACCTAGCTGTGTACTGGGTACCAGTCAGTATACAATCACTATAAACTAGACAGTATTCAGTACGACATCCCTGGCTGTAAACCATCTAGCTGTGTACTGGGTACCAGTCAGTATACAATCACTATAAACTAGACAGTATTCAGTACACCATCCCTGGCTGTAAACCATCTAGCTGTGTACTGGGTACCAGTCAGTATACAATCACTATAAACTAGACAGTATTCAGTACACCATCCCTGGCTGTAAACCATCTAGCTGTGTACTGGGTACCAGTCAGTATACAATCACTATAAACTAGACAGTATTCAGTACACCATCCCTGGCTGTAAACCACCTAGCTGTGTACTGGGTACCAGTCAGTATACAATCACTATAAACTAGACAGTATTCAGAACGCCATCCATGGCTGTAAACCACCTAGCTGTGTACTGGGTACCAGTCAGTATACAATCACTATAAACTAGACAGTATTCAGTACGCGACATCCCTGGCTGTAAACCACCTAGTGAGTGAGTGAGTCTTGCACTGTCTGTAAATAATCAAGTCTGGACCAGACAATCAAGTGATCAACAGCATGAGCATCGATCTACGCAATTGGGAACCGATGACATGTGTCAACCAAGCCAGCGAGCCTGATCACCCGATCCGTTAGTCGCCTCTTACGACAAGCATGGGTTATTGAAGATTCATTCTAACCCGGACCTTCACAGGTCTAAACCATCTAGCAATGTACTGATACCAAGGTGTACTTTTCATGTAGCCACACAGGGAAGGTTAACATGAAGGGATATACTCACTTGATATAGTAAGGCACTTTGTTCCCTGACACAGATCGCTCATAGGGGGACTCCACAGATACTGCAACACACAAAACACATCAAGGTTAAGTCAGGGATTGTACAGGTTCACCCAACAAGAACACCCACAGACAGGACAAAGGAATAGTGCATGTATCACAGTAGATAGTGTTTCACTGCCTCGTGCTTACAGAGTTTGATTCCCTAAATGAATACCATCTTTGAAAGGATTATTTCCACAGCCAAACTGTTTTCTTGAAGTGATATGCTCAAACAAAAACATTAATGTTAGATGAGGCGACATGAAATGGGATTACTAAGAATATATCACTCTAAGAGTGACAACAGACCTTGTTGTATCCATATAATGTCAATGTCAGACAGGGCAACAACAAATACCGCATTTTAATGTCTTTTGTTATGACGTGGACAAGGATCAAACTAACAACCTTTTGCTCGCCTGGCAGACGCTCTATCAAGCTGACCACAAAGCAGTGTTGGGAATTGGCTAAAATGTCATAATTGATGATTGCTTAATTACAACCGATCAATCATCGAAAATAATTGGTTAGCATCATTTATGAATTTGTCCTGGTTAATTTTGTTAATGCACAAAAACATAAAGAAAAAAATGTAGTGCAAATGTTTTGGGGCAAATTTCACATCTTGAACGGATAACTAGTATGTTAGGAACATAACTGTCTTGGGGTCTTTAAGATAAATTCAATCATGACTTGGAACGAGCTTGTAGTACTCATGGAATGTAACTGATAAAACCAACCATGTGAAAAATATTGTTAATGCAAAAAGTGTTCCAGAATTGTTTGTTTTCGATTATGAGAAAACATGATCGATTGCTTGGTTGTTTCGTCACTGCGACCAATCTTCGATTATTTCAATTAATCGGACCACCACTACCACAAAGGCAGTCTCACACATTGTACCATTGTAGCAGGACAAGCCAGAGCTTCAACCTTATGCTAGCCTGGCAGATGCTCTATCGAGCTGACCAGTTTTAGGCATTCTCTCACACACAGAGCTTCAATCACAAAGTAAACTCTGTGGATCCCATAGTTGTCATCAAATATTAGCTGCATGGTAACAGTTTGCACAGAAAGTAATGTCATCTGGAGTTGGGCTTAATGCCACCTTGTACAATATTTCTGTTTTATAATGTCAATTAGGATGATTTTGGTTCTAGTTTTGAAGAACACTGTTGTGAAAGATTTTCTATGTATCTATCACATCATTCAATAAAATAAAGTAATTTTAAATCACAACATTAATTAAACTGATTCAACATTTGTCAAGCTGAATACTAGTATTCCCAAACTAAGATCCAAACTGAAAAAAGAATGAAGTTGAAATATGTTCACAATGTTTTTATAATGATTAAGAATAGCTGTCTTTAAGCCGTATACTGTGCAGTTTTACTGTTCCTTCGATTGAGGGACGTACCGTAGACATCAACAAGGTCAGAGAAAACCCTTATGTCTATTATCAGCTACAAAGTGTGCTTGTTACATTGCTGATGGAAGATGGTGCCATGTTCTTGCATGAAGTAAATTACTTAATGCTCAACGTTAAAATCAATAAGTGTCCTAATTTATGCACCAGGATATGAGCATGGCAGAGTTTTATGTCCAGGCTGTTCCTGGTTATGATTTAATTCCGCACGTATTTCAGCACTGGGAAATGACAACCATCCAGAATGAGTTCAGATATATTTTTATGAATATTCATAACTGATGGCACTATGCATACTAACATCATGCATGACAAACCTTGTGAATACAGCTGGGTAAATAATTTGTAAGTAACATCTGATAGATACCAGCAGGATGCTACTGACAGAAACTCAAGAGAATATTACTATTACTTTCATTTCAGTGACACTGTTAATAGTAATGTGAGATTGATATTTGGTTGGTTGGTTGTAGTTTAACGCCAAACTTAGCAATATTCCAGCTTTATGGTGGTGATCTGTAAATAATCGAATCTGGACCAGACAATACAATGATCAACAGCATGAGCATCGATCTACGTAACAGAGGGATATTTGAGTACATATTTTTCCAATTCTATTTTGAAAATGATAAGAGGTATAAATTATGTCGAATACTACTGGTAATTTGAATACTGGACATCTTGAAACTTGAAATTGCTGTTCATTTACTGAGGACAAACATTTGGTCGATGAATGCCAACAATAGAAAAGAATAATACTTTCATAATAAATAAAGAAGTTGTTATCCATAAAGTATTATTCTTTTCTATTATCCATCAACTTCTAAAATGCCAATCAAACAGAATGCACACAAGCTACCTATCAGCTTCCTGTTACTGGTATCTCAACAAAGGCTTGAACACAGGCCATTCTATACATTTCACCACGCATATATAAGAGCATTTACTTCTGAAGAGAAAAGTATTCACATTTTCATCAGTTAGCGTCTTGTGTTACAGAAAGGTTATGCCTGGATGAACAATCAGTCTATAATTCCAACATCAAAACACACTTGTGCTGAACCTTTTGTTTTACAAACATCTTTTTCTTTGTGAAAGTTAATTTCTAAACCATTTAAAATAGCAGAAGTATATTCGCCTCTTAACAAGACACACAAACATTATTCTATCAGACTCTGGAAACACATGGTGGGGAACTGCAGGAGCCGCCCCACAAGAAACTGGCTCTGTACCAGCTGGTGCTCCACTACACAAGGTGATGCTGTTCAGAAAAAAGAAGACCCAGTTTCACCATCTGGTCCTACTTGCTAGACTCCAATCAGGAATTCCACACTTTGTTTAAAACATGACTCTCTCCTTCAGCCGAGCGGGAGCACTTACGGCAACAGCGCTCGACATCACCAGCCATTCAACAACTACAACCACAAGACAACTCTTTGCAAATGTCTACATCAGCCCCAATTTGCAGCATGTTTCCGTCAAACATACCTCAAAAACCACAAAACCGCACATTTTATTTAGCCTTCATTTTTGTTTTCTGGAGGATTAACCTTTTGTATTGTTGTAAAGTTTCAAATGTTTACATCAAAAGCAAACCTAAATCAGCTACAGCATCTCAACATAAACAAGCATAACATACTCCTTAAACCTGCACACTGCAAGTCTCCACCAGATGTAATACACACTGAAGACTCAAACAACTCACTGACCCATCTTTTGTGTTGAACTGAGAGAATACATGTGAATAACTGAAGGTGTGGTGGCACAGTGGTTAAAGTGTCTGCTGGTTACAGCCAAAAGAAATACATAAAAGAGGTTCTTTCTTGCTCCCCTGCTGAAACAAGTCTGGGCTGTTGCTAATAGTGACAGAAAACTCTAATTTAACCATGTGAATATTGTTTTATGCCACAGTGTTACTCTGGCTGCATATGCTGACCATGTAAATGTTTGCTGGATCAAACAAACCAATGGTTGACAGCAAGAGCAATGGTCCACATCTTGAGCTACATTGACATTGTGGTCACCTGATTCCATTTTTCTGTGGGTTCTAATGACAGACATTGGGTGCTATGGTCATGTTCTGTCCTGTCACTTCCCAAAGGCTCACAATGACAAAGTAGAGAGTGTTTCATGTCAGTCTGAATCACTCGACTTCGATCGGTTTTTGACGGATACAGCCGAAGTTATTCCGCTGCATTCTACCGAGTTTCGCATAGCGGCTGTACGCGTACTCCACTAACGGCCGCTATCAAATCCGATAGTACCTCTTTTTGTTCATATAGTAAATGCATTAGATTGCAATACGGAAGTTATGCTACCAATGTGCCATCATTATAATCCCATTCAACGCTTTTTCGTCAAATAGATAGGAGGGCCTGTGAATGGTGGAATCATATCAGTATGTATGCATTCATATGGAGAAAAGGAAAAATGAAGATGTTAGGTGTAATTAATGTAGTGAGTGAGTAAGTGAGTGAGTGAGTTTGGTTTTACGCCGCTTTTAGCAATATTCCAGCAATATCATGGCAGGGGACACCAGAAATGAGCTTCACACATTGTACCCAGTAATTAATGTAGTACTTGTCACAACTCTGACTTTCTCTCTAACAGGTACTATCAGGGCAATGGTTTATACAATGATAAAGTAGAATAGATTATTAAATCATCCATAATATGTTTCCAGGGAAGTCAAGATGGAGCCATTTTATTTGTATGCCAGACAAAACAAAATCACAACAGAAAAGGTGCGGTAATACCAGCGCCTTGAGCATGCACTAGTGCGTTGATATGTGCGCTATATAAATATCCTATCCTATCCTATCCTATAACAAGTTCTAGTGAGTATCGATATTTTTAAGGAGAAATGATTCATTAGACAACCCTAATACAACATGAATCTATCACATAGCAATTTACCTTTTGATCTGATGCCAGGAATAGTCACTTTGTCAAGTAGAGATCCACCACACAGTTATCCAAGTGCATATTGAAAACTGACTCTATAGGCAAATTGTCAACAAATACTTTCTGTACAACTCTAACCTTTAACACATCCATTTGTTTAGCAATTCAAATGACAAGAACATAATTTAGTTCAACAATTTAAATGACAAGAAGCCCCACTTCCTGTGCCTCCGTACATCGGCCATTATCACTGAATAGTCACAGCCAACAATCACAAAAACAAATATTGAATATTCCTGAACAAGAATATGTACTTTACCAGAGTGATGAACAATGTACGAAGTACTTATGATCCACTGAAATCTTCAAGTGGTTCAACTCCAACTAGCAACAAAATAACATACAGTCCACAAACACTGGCTAAAAGTTCCGATAGGTGGGTAAGATTGTCGACCCATCGATGACAACAGCACTCTCACATTGATAAGTGCTGGACAGCGCCCTAACTGCTTTAACAACTACTCGAGACCTGATAAGAGCAGCCCTAATGATATTAGCTGAAGATAGACAATGTTTGATCAGCAGCCCTGTTGATGGAAATGATGGTGTATAGGTACTGACAGGTGATTGACAGGTCACGAGTGATGGGCTCCTGTCCATTATGTCAACTATATGTCAGACAGGATCTGG